ATGCAATTCCGCATCTTTTGGGACTAAGTAGAATTTTTTACCTTGAAAATTCAATTTTTGGCAGAATTTTAAAGTTTTTTTCGCGGATTTCCATAGAGTCTTATGTAAGGTGGCGCGATTTTTACACTTTTTAAAAACGTTCCCATTTCCTAAAAACACAAAACCTAAGCATGAAAACTTCAGCGAAGGTGCTCCTACATGTGTTCTATAATCTATCAAATTTTCAGTCAATTTGAACTAAGTTTTTTTCGCGGATTTCCATAGAGTCTTATGTAACGTGGCGCGATTTTTACACTTTTTAAAAACGTTCCCATTTCCTAAAAACACAAAACCGAAGCATGAAAACTTCAGCGAAGGTGCTCCTACTTGTGTTCTATAATCTATCAAATTTTTAGTCAATTTGAACAAATATTTTTTGAGTTATGAATAAAAATGTGAAAGTTACGTAATAATTGCCTAAACCAGTGTTATCTGACTTTTCTGTTGCAGTTTTTATATAACTTACTTATTTTGTATACTTTGTCTTCCATGTGCAGTTATTACCTGCATTATTTATCATATGATTATAAACCCTGTGATCTTGCAAAAATAAAAATATATGTTTCTTTTCATGTGTTCATGACATGATACAATATTTTTTGATCTGGTTGGGTGATAAATATACATAATGAATCTTTAAAAAATATTATCATGTTCAACTGCGTTGAAAGTCGTAAAGTCACTCTTTTTGGAAAGGTGAAGCGTTTCTAGGTCTCTTCGATTTTTTTGAATGATGCAATTGATTTAAAAATTATGCCCTGAAATGTTGGAAATGGTTCAAAGAAATTAGAATGAATATTATTGACAAATATGGATTTTTAGTGAGTATTTTGAATTGAAACGTGAATTCTGGCTATTATCGCAATATACAACAAAATCGAAGATTATAAACGATGCCTTTATTTCGAGGAAATTCAAATTTGGTGCGTGTAATTTTTGTTGCGGTCACACAATTATGGACGAACTGAGTCAAATTCTTCAAGTAAGGTCAAGTTTTTGCCCCTTATACCTGGTAATTAGCGTGAATACATCGACCAAACGTAATATATATTCGTCGTCAATGAGTTAATGGCGTACAAATCGTTCTTCATCAGTACAGTAATTCAAAATGCAATGGTGGAAATAATTTATTCAAATCATATTTGTGCATTCTAAATTAGAGTACTTGCAAATATTGACGCATGATTTATCGAAGAAGAAAAAATGATCTAACTTTAAAAGGATGTATTCACGTGTTTTTAAAGCCCCCATTCTTTTCCCCCAAACTTGTTTGCGTTCTTTTCATGCATCTTTAAGCATTTTCTGCTTCGCCCGCTTTCGTAAGTTTTTTTTATCGTTAGGCAGGTGTCGCTTCTATCTCAAACCTATCAAAAGTGGACTTGACTTCTGCAGTTTGATGAAACTACCAATTTTATCTGAACGCTTAATTAATTACTGTTGAATGCCTATATACGCTTATAGTCACTCTGATGCCTGACCTGATCTGAAGGAAATTCTGACAATCAAACTACTACGTATAGGCGAGATCTGTGAGCTGTAAAGCACAACTGAGAGTTAGCATCGGAGCTCGATCGATTTTCTGAAACCGCCCGACAATTAAAAGTGTGTACGTGGAAAATCTGAATATATGTGCTCGCAAACTGACTCACAAAACCTGTTGAACGTCGCGTCACTGAAAACAATACGTTGTAAACTTGGACTAAAGAGTGGACTCAAAGTGGCTCTTGTCTTGGGACATAAAGATGATTAAGTCGATTCCCGGAGCACGAATGGGGGTGAAATGAAATGTAACTGAGGTACAGGCAAGAGTCATTTTTACTGCGTGTTTTAATAGTTTTTTCAGCCTTGGGGCCTGAAAACATTTTCCGACCCGGCGCATATATATATATATATATATATATAAATGCCCCACGGGGGGCGCCGTTGTTGGAACCACAGCAGCAACCCAAAAAACAAAAAAAAAGCGAACCTCTGGTCGTTTTCTTCCTGTCCGATTTTGTAACCCCCGGGGAAAAGAGAGAAGTTCATTTCCACGATCCATTTCCTGCTGCTGATCCTGTTGATTTCATGTAGGCATTTACGTCATGGCATGAATTCAACAAAATTTACGTTTTTCTCTCATCATTTCCGCTTTCAATAAACATATTCTGTGATGAGATTTATTTTACGTGGTGTCTATGAAAATTATTTGGAGATGCCCTTGGAACAATTTTATGCGCAAAACATTGGTTCCAACGATATATTTGTCACATTTGAATTTGAGCAGTAACGAATTTCGGACTTCCGAATTGTCAATTAAGCGAGTGTTTCGAAGCTACGTATATAGTGTATTGCAGAATATGGACTTTGCAAATTTCCCTCGCATGCATTTCTGAATAAATTTAAGAAACGAAGGTATGCTCAACCAAAATATAATTTTAAATGCCCAAAATCGCGAACAAAAAATATTTATTTTCAACTCAGCACAATCGTCGAAAATACGGAACCAACAAGTTTTTGCAATATAAGACAGCCCCTTTTACAACAGCAACTTGAGATTTTATCCATGAATGATCGATCCATCTTGTCTTCTTATCTATTATTCGAAGCAGGGCTCTTCAGAAATTATCTGAAGCAAAATTAGCAGCAAAGAAATGCATATTCTTGTAATGGACAAGACAATTATCCGTTTTGCGAGATACGCGTTTTACAGGGTATCCCTCCAGGTTTCAGTGCCTAAGGGTATTGCATTCAAAAAAATTAAAAATAATCTCGAATGTCTCAAACTTTTCTTGAAATTTTTTTCTGATAATATACTGCAAATAGCGAAGGTTTTTGGCGCTGAAAACTCGTCTGCGAAGATAATCGGAGACAGACACTTGGCCGTTTTGCGAGATACCCATTTCTTACAGGGTACCCCTCAGGTGCCAGTGCATATTGCATTAAAAAATTAAAAATAATCTCGAATGCCTCAAACTTTTCTTGAATTTTTTTCTGAAACTTTGCCGTGAATAACGAAGGTTTCTGGCGTTGAAAACTCGTCTGCGCAAATAATCGCGGAGACAGACACTTTTCAATTTTTCGAGATACCCATTTTACAGGATACCTCTCTGCTGCCAGTGCAAATAGTGGTACTTCATTTTTTTAAATTAACCAATATAGTCTCGAGTGCCTCAAACTTTCTTGGATTTGATTTTTTCCCGAAAATATGCTGCAAATAACGAAGGTTTTTTGGTGTTGAAAACTATAGTCTGCGGAAATAATCAAAGACGAGTTTGAAGGTGAGGATTCCAGTCCGGTCGTCGCAATCCTGAACCTGAAACTGAAATGACTCCTCAATCATTTCCTTATCTGCCTTTCGGTCTATCTTCCTTTTTTTTTTCTTACCTTCCTATATTTATCTGTATGAATATATATAATTTATTTTTTTACCCTGGCTTGTGAAACACTTTCCCCAAAACCTGTTCCATCATTGCAAAACCGTCCTCACACGAAGCCCCGGCTGCCGAGTTAATCCTGCATCTTTTTTAAAATAACCTCGCCACTTGGTTCTTCGCAGTCCCGCGGGACGGACGCGATTGAATTCACGAAGAAAGCTCGTGGGGAAATGTTTCGAAAATGCGAGGCAATTCGGCCTTTATAACTCCTCCATATGTATTTTAATCACCTGGGTGTATTGTGGATATAGGCGTGATGAGGTATTTGTCTGAGCTTTAAGTGATCAAGAAATTCCGCGGCGAGATTTTTACAAGAGAAAGGAAGAAGAAAAAAAATCGGCGATGGTTTTTATTTCCGAGTGAAAATTTCGCAGTTATCCAGAGAAAGTAACTGAAGAAAACCTGTATTGTACTTGGTAAATTCAAGATAATCAGCAAGAGTATAATTGTCCAGTGAGATTTTTCAGAAGATCTTTGCGAGGATTAATAGCTTTGCTGACGATTCTATTTTATTTCGTTTTCGGGATAAATTATAGAAAAATCCAGAGAAACTTGAATTGAGAAAAACTCTCCGGGTTACATGACGATTTTCATTGCAGTAGTCGTAGAATATCAAAGTGGGGATTTTTCAGAATACGTTTTCCAGTTTTTAAATGCAGTTCTTTGATGGGTACCCGAGTTTCTCTGTTGAGAGTTCTACGAAAAATGTTCGTATCAATAAAAAATGTAAATTAATGCATCTTTGAAGATATGTTTACTGATCCGGAAAATTTCATTTTATTTTGCATCTGATGTGATCAACTTCCTGCTATGGTCACCAATTGGAATTTGAGGGCGAATTTCAGATTTAACCTGAAGAAAAATTGCGAAGACCAGATTGATCATTGCCATATAAGAAAATATTCCCTGACTCTTCACCGAAATGGTTATTTAAATTTTTCACGGTTCGAATGCGGAGTAAAAATTATCACGTGTGGTTTTTATAGTTTCGTGCCTCACAGTGATGGAAATTCAACTTGAAAAAACCTGTTCATTTTGATTTTTTTTTTAGCGTGGATGGGCACACTTTGTAACGCTGATTGAGAAAAGATAAAAATTCCTCCGATCCGGTTTGGGTCATTCTTGTACCCATTCAATGACTCAATTGTGAACAAGAAGAACAAGAGACGGAGGAAACTTATGGAGTAACCCTCGGCTATGCCGATCGAGTCTCAAAATATTTTATATAAAATTATTCCAGGAATTAACTCGGGGCATGCAGTTTGTTTTTCGCTCGGGAATTTTATATATTTCCACGTGAAATCAAATGCTGTATATTTACTGATTTCTTTCAATTGTCAACTGTTCACTGAAACGAAAAGTGATCGTTGCTCAGGGTTGGGAATTCCGTTTCAAAATAATCTACGTATATAGGAAAAATAAAACTCGAGGAAATCGCAGTTTGTTTGTGCTGATTTTCGATTCCGTTTCGGAGTGGTGATTCGTGGTGTTGGTGAGAGGGGGAAGAGAAACTAAAAATAAAAAATAAATAAAACAATTGTGGGCATGGCGACGAAGACGACACTGACGACGACGTCAACGGCGACACCAGCAGCAGACTCATTGCCAAAGACGCCGTCGTTCGATGAGCACGAGGTTCTCGACGATGTCGGCGAACTGTCTGCCAGTGTCGAGGCTCGTCAGGCCAGGGTTGCCAAATACGCCGTCAGAGGCAAGGTCATTTCTTTTCGGTGCGTCACTTTTCAAATTTTCAATCTCCTCCCTTCTGATGATGGTGAAATCACAAATTCCTCGAAACGGCTCTATTATCTGAAGTACAGCACTGTAAAAGTAAATTGAAATTTCAGGAGGCTTCTTTTTTTTTCAAATAGCGTCGATTGCATCTTCATACAGGAAAAAAACTCTCTTCGAAACATTTTACCCTCACTCATGCTGCATTTTTGAAAAAAAAAAAACTGCTTACTTCGAAAAAGACTATTTCAAGTTTATAGTAGATTAAGTTTGAAAATATTTTAAAATTATCGTATATTCCTGCAGTAAAAATATTCATTCTGGATGAATTCATTGCGCATGAGTTTTCAAAATAAATACTGAAATAAAAACTACGCAATCCGACAATCGGAAGTCGGGTCCAAAATCTAAGGTTAGACTCAAATCCAAGTAAATCGTGTTTGTTTCATACTTTTTTTCCTGTATTATAATGGTTGAAGATTTGATAACCACTAAGAGCCTACCATGTTTAAAAAATGTCCTACTTGAGTTCATTAAAAATTTTAAATGATGCGTTAGCTGAAAAAAAATTTGTCGTAAACGTGAATTTTTCAAAGACTTCCGACGTCTCACTTCATTTAATAATTGTCACCATACCTAGAAAAAAATTCCTCGAGAGCAATTCATCTTAAACTAATTGATTCTGACTTTAACTGGTTTGACTGCGTTCTGAATATTCCACGTTCGAAATTCTCCGTATTTCAGAACGATGGGAAACCATTTCGTCGTTTTTCCTGGACGAAAGAAACGACAAATTTATCTCTGAACTCTAAAACTAGACAGCTTAGGTTACTGGAAATTTGTCTCGTTCGTTGATAAACTCGTCACTAGTCTTCTTTAACTCTTGGTTTTTTTTTCAAAGGCTGTGGCGCAAGATAAAATATGTCCAAACGTCTTTTGAAAACGTACACATTTGTAAAATTTATCGTCACGTGAGCTGATGGCAAATTTTCTCGACGATTTTAGGGAAAACAATATTTTTTCGCGATATATTGAAAAATGTATTGAAGCTCGGAATTGATTCGTTCATCGGTGACCAGTGCATTTATATATTTGTATTTCTGTCTTTTCTGGAGAATATGAGCCTGTATTTTTTCGTTCATGGCTTTTAGGAATCAATTTTCACGAGGATTCGCGTGGGAACGAATTTTATTCCAATATTCCGATTTCACAAATCGTATTTATACAGACTTTGATGATGGAGTCAGTCAAGCTGTTGCGTACTTGAGTGGAATTTTCTTTCAGTTCCTGTCTTCGTTCACATCAGTGTTTATACTCATGGGCTTGGCCCAATCAAGCTGTAAAATAATCCTCCCCGCTTTGTTTCAATTATCTTGACAGTTTAATTAGTGCCTTTCTCTTGTTTATCGAGAGTTTATCGAATTACCATAGGTTGAGAATAATTGAGTCTTTACATCCCTTCGTGCAGGTGAAACAAATATTCTCTTTTTACAATACATTTTTCAAGTTGGTTTTGTGTTTCAGATATAGTCAGCATGCCTTATACCGTGTTATTGCATATTTCAGTGCTTTTACTGCTTTACAATGCTATTTTTGAATTTCCAATGAAAAATTATACCGGCACAGATGAATCTTTTTTTAGGGACCCGAAGAGATTCTCGTAAACGTATTTTGAAATATTGTTTGCTGAAGTGAGACATTAATTCATTCAGCCTGAGATTTTGATGGGCAAATAAGCATAATGGAATAATTGCATAGTATAATTAAGTTGAACAATATAATAAAGTCTTTCAACAGAATGGCATATTTCCAACAGCAGAAGTACAGTAACAAAGTTTCTCGCATAAAAAATACGTATGTTTTTCCAGTGAAATTATGAGTGAATTTCTTGAAGTCCAAGGAAAAAAGAACAGCTTGAAAACTTGTCCTTCCGGATTAATTATTTAATTTTTAAAAATCCTAGGGGATGTTGTGGACAATTTGGAAATAAATCCGTTTATTTTCCCTCGAAGTATTGTAAAGCTATTTGTATATTTCCCATTTATAAAATTGCAACCCAACTGTAGTTACTTGTAGCACCACTCCTTGTATATTTGCAATGGAATTTAGACAAAGTGATCTTTTGAAGATGGAATGATTGAATTACTTGTTCAAAAATGCTTACACTCTGTTGCTGACAAAGGTGGTGGCAACATAATGATGAGATTTTTGTCTGTGGATTGAAGGAAAAATAAGAGAAAAGAAAAGGCAGATTCTGCCTGGGACAAGGCTGGGGGTTCTTTGTAGAATCCCTGAATTAAAAGTTAAAGTACTGTATATTCCAAAAAGTCCCAACGCAACTGTTGAGAACATCAATCAATTCAACATGAAGATTGAATCATAGCGCAGTGGAAAAATGATATGAAATGTTAGGGAAGGGCAATCAGCCTTTTACGCCAAGAACACATATTCAAGGGTACACATATTCTAGTTTTGAACTTCATTTCATTCATTTCTCAAATCACAAGTCTGGAATTGAATACAAGAAATCACAAAAACGAATTTGTGCACAAATTTGACTAAGAAGATAATGGGATAATAATGATAATTGACAAAAAATGTTGTGTTGAATGAGAGAATAATGCTGAACTACTTCATGCAAGAGAAAACCTTTCCTGGTTTCCTCTTGAAACCAGCAGAAACCTTAACTGGTTTCCTTCTTGGATCCAAGATCTTGTTTGCCCAACAGCAATGGTGTAAAATTTAGTACATTAAAAAATTAATCTAAAAAACCACGTTTAAAAAAAGCAAAAAATAACCTTAAATTTTTTAAAAAATATTCTTATAATTTTTCTTTTTACAAAAGATTGCATTGTCATCAGTTTCTAAGCTATCCTGAAAGTTTCAGTTTGCTAGCTAGTCGGGAAGTGAGCAAAATTTGAGTTGCAAAATTTGATCTGGACAAACAAACGGACAAGAAAGTGAGTTGATAAAAACGTGTTAAAAACAAGAAAGGCTTCAGAATATTTTTACAACAAATAAAGCCTCTCCGAAAAGCTTTTCTCAACCACAACTGTTTCTGAGAACAGCAAACAGTGGCCTGATGATAAAATTGTGATAAGAAATGGTTCCTATTAATTTCTTCAAGTCTGTCCTTGATTTAGTATTCTGATCAAGGACAGGATCAAGCAAAAGGTCTGTGATTTGCCAGGAAAAGTTGAGTCAAAGATTTCAAGCTCTCCGGAAGTTTTGATTTTTGTGGGGAGGGCAAAAACATATAAATTGCCAGTTCTTACTGGACTTTCTACTTTAATGGTTTTCCATCTAATTTGATTTTGCCCCAAATTAATTTTATGCCTCCATTAATTGAGACACGAGGTGAGTCCCCAACTCTTTTTTCCAAGAGGAACTGAAGGTGTCAGAATTCCGCAGCACCAAAAATAATTCCTTCTCAAGATGCAGACAAACTTCCAGTGGTTCAGTTGGCAATTTCATCAGTGCCATTTATTACCAAGCGATTTGGCAGTGAAAAACGTGGAATCTGTGGACATCAGGAAAGTCAATCCGGCAAATTCAGAAGGTCAAATATCCACCGAAATGAGCTTGATCAGAAATGGAAGACGAATAAAAATCACGAATTAAAAGTGAAAAAAATCGAGGAGCTGAAATTGAAAAGTTTAAGTCAGACGGAACTGTGTGGGACAAAAACTCAAATATGCTTGCTAGAATTTTGATAAAACATGCCAAAAACTCATCAATAGCAGAAGTTTTAAATTTCTGTGGCCTCGATGAAAGTTGGAGGAAATTGAGTCGTCATTGTGTTTTATCCAAAATCCTTAAATAAATAAAAAATGGAAAAGTAAGGAAGTGTATCAAAGCTGATTTCTTTCAACTTAATTTTTGCTAAATCCCTGCAAAATATACAGAGTATTTAAAATTTAGGATTGATTCGAATGCTGCACGTTAAACAATCAGAAACAAAAGAAAACGCATCAATCCTTCACGGATTCATGTTAGAAATTTTATCAGCATAATTTCATTCAGCTCTACTTCGCTATCTTGTAAAACCACATTCTCGCATCTTCAGTGCAAAATATTTCAATTGAGCTGTCATTTTAAAACGCTGAGTGGAGTTTGTCATCGGATATATTTCTGCTCAGATTTTAGGAATGAGAATCAAAATCAATTATTTGAAAATTTCGAAAATTGCAGTAAGTAATGCGACTAAAAATTTGAATGCACTTCAATTTTCTCAACAATTTCGATTCAAAAACACATGTAAAATTATAAAAATTCGCTCATCCCAAGTATTCAAAGGCTCCACCGTCATACAGGAGACTCGCCACGATGCAAGAAAATCTTTCATGGCACATAATCGCTAATTTAACCTCGAACAATTTTCCACATGATTCTTCCTCCTCAGGATTTGTACAATATATATATTTCCCCCCTGTTATAATGAGTTTTTGAATCTTTTTCTTTTTGTTTTGTATTTTTTTCTTCCAGGAGGACAAGATCTCTGAACGCTCCGAGCCCGATCCAGCAATTCGGACCATGCGGGAGGATCATGAAAAACTCTGCGATGGTCATGTAAGTCACGACTTGATATTTACGTCTTTTCATCTCAAAAATCTCTCTCTTCACGACCTCACGAAATCATCGCGGTTTCCTCATTTGTTTCAACTCGCAAACGCTGATTTTACATTGAAAATTTAAACGTAAAAGCGTAAATTCCTGGTGAATAACCACAGGCTGATGTGTTGAGGCTTATTGGGATTTTATGAGGTATGAAGCTCATGAACAGTGATACAAGATAATGAAACTGTACACGGGAAAATGTCAGAAATGCTTGAATGAAATCCACGAGGAGTATTTATCTGAAATTGTTAATCTTGAAAAAAATTTTGCGGAACTTAATAGATGATGATATTCGAAGTCGATCTAATTTGGTTTAAATAGTTGAAAATTAGTACGAAGAAATCTAGAGCGTTTTTTGATTCAAACAAAAAGGGCTGTATATTTATTCTCCTATTAAGAATTGAGTTTGCTGCGAACATTAAAAAATTGTTTCTAAATTGAAAACGCGCAGTTGGCAAATAAATGTTGAAACATTCAGAAATCTGACCAAAGCTGAAACGACTCGAACATTTTTTCTTTCATCATTTGAATCAATTTCATGATCAGATACCAAAAATTATTATTTGAACGATTTTTGCAAAATGTGTAATCTAAATTTTTAGGACACAGAAATAATGTGCGTGTGCTGCAACAATGACTCGAATATTCGTATGCTGACTATTATTTCTCTTTTTTTTGAATTTCAGTGGCCTCGACTTCAGTAACGGATTCGAATAAAACTTCATCGAATAAAATAATTTTGAATTTTAGTACTTGTTCAAGGGCAGGTGATCAAGAGTTATAATGAGCCATATATGAACACCAATATCCACCTAAAATGCGTCTGTATATAACGCTCAAAATGATTTTGAAACCGATTCGACGAGTCACGAGTTGAATTTTATTTCTCCTCACTTTATTTCGCTCCCAAAAATTCTTTCGCAATTTCAGCGAATTAAAATCCGGGATGTGAAGCAGAGGATTTAACGTGTGTCTAAACCAGGTTCATTAGCCGTTTCGTGTCACTGTTGCGCAATTTTGTTTTCTTTACTGAAAAAAGGGGGAAATGGAAGAGCTGAATTATTTCTTGCCTCGCTTCACGAAAAAAAAAATCACACACACACACGCGAAATAAGCTAAGGCTCGTTAAAACAATTAAATCCAGGCGTGTTTCACGAAAGGTTTGCGTGTCTTGTCCGCTTCGCTGTTTCCACCCACAAAAAAGTTTCTTCCTAGCTTGGAAAATTAAAAATCTGCATTGAAACATGATCTGCTTGAAGCCTTACATTGTTCACGAAATTTCCTTTTTTTTTCTGACATTTTTGTGGAATAGTGTCCTCCGATGAGCTTGGAAAATTAAAAATCTGCCTTGAAACATGATCTGCTTGAAGCCCTACACTGTTCACGAAAATTTATTTTTGTTGTGTCTGACATTTTTATGTAATAGTGTCTTCCTAGCTTGAAAAATTATCGACACAAACTGTGATCTGCTTGTAATTTCGGAAGATTAATCCCGAAATTTCATACTTTTTGTGTGTGAAATTGTCTTTGGAACAGTTTATTCCTGGCCAGAAAAATTATCGACCTGCCCTTCAAACATGATCTGCTTGAAGGATATCTTTATTTCCACGAAATTTGCTAATTTTTCTCTGTCAAATTTTCAATTCCTTCTTTTTCGTGAAATTGGTATCACTGTCTTGAAAAATGGCCTGCTTGAATTGTTCCGTTTTTTTCACCAACGTTAATCTTCCTCTTTTTTTTTATAAAATCGTAGTGTCATGGATTACAGTCAAGTTTTCCCATTTTCTATAGTAGCAGTTGGGGTTTAGGAATTATTTATTGACATTAGTTATCCTACTTGGAAGTAATTCTCCTGTCGATAGGGGAAAAAATAAACATTCCTTGAAGCAGGCTTTTGTTGAAGTTTCTCGTTTTTCTTGACAGAATATATTTTTTTGAAATCCAACGAGCAAGTTTTAAGAAAGGATCACGTCGATTTTTAATAAGAAGTTTTGATCCTGACACGTGAATTTCGGAATCAAAACTTGATTTTTAAAACTAGTATTGCTCAATAAACCACCTGAATCCTGAGGGTTGTTGTTTTACCGAAATATGAGTATTTTCATTGCAACGCTTCTATTCCAAATATTTTGAGTTTTTTTCCAACCCAATGTGTTCATCTAAGTACAGCTGGAAGATGAAAAATAAAAGTTTCAATTTTTGAAGCGATATGATCTTTTGAACACTTGCAGTCGTCGTTATGGTAAAAAAAAAAACTTGTTCCCATGAATTAAATCATTTGATCTTCGAAAGTTTTTCCAAATCCAAGGGACCGGTCGGGTTTGTGTAATCATTATTTCGGCCTCAAAATTAATTCTTCTATTTTTCATTGTCAAATATCAGCATTATTCGTTTGTTTTTAAATTGTATGCCCCAATTCAGTCTAGTGAAGGAATCGCATATCGTCCAGAATTTCGTCTGACAAGGTCGAAATATTTACTTCTCTTCATCAACGTCGTGACTCAAAGTTTCATGTAAAAAGAGTGCGAGAGAGAAAATGACGAGAAAATTCGGGGTAATTGCTTTTAATGACCGGCGGGAACTTTTCTGTACAGTTGTTGTGAAACTAGAGACACACGAGGGTTCATCCGGTTCATTTTATTTTATTTTTGCCAAAACACGCGAAGTAAAACTACCCCATATAGCTTTAATTACGTCAAGAGGTGATTAACTGTGATCCGTGCGAGTATAAGTTGATTTCACGTGGTTTTTGATAGTTACATTTTTTAATGACGCTTTCGAAGGTGAAACTTTTATTGCCTGGCTGCGGTAAAATGTGCCAGATTGTGTTTGGCGATCCCTGAATTATTTTCGCCGGCCACTTATGTGTTTCTGTGGGTCGGCTTGTTTGCGAAACCAGAACACCATTCTGACGTATTCATGATGGAATATTGATTTTGGTGTACATGTAGTGTAAAAGGCTTTACCTCGACGGATAAAGCATTGAAAAATGCAAGCCGTATTCTGGCCTCTCGCATTTTGAATTAATTTCAAATGAGTTCCATTATTGAGTCAGTATAGGGGTCGCGAAAACGTGGCATCGTATTTTATTTTCCTTGGCAAGGTCCAAAAGAGCGCGTGAAAAAAGAGCATGCGATAAAAGAGCGCAAATGACTTTTTTTTTCTTATTTGTACCGTTTCGTTTTGTGCACTTGCTTCTTATATAGTCACACTAATCTGGTCTATGAATTTAAAGAAATATTCAACTTCAAGAGGATTTTGAATCACGGGGAATTTTTAATCCATTTATGAGAGTGGCCTTTAATATACGGTATATTTATATTTTAGCACATTTTATTTTGCATTCAGATATTTTTAGCATCACTATTCTAATGAAGGAAATCAACCCTCATTAAGGGTTCAAGAGTAGTAGGTGTGAGAACCGGAGTTTATGAGATGCACAACGACAAGTTTTTGGGGAATGCTGATTCTTGTTCTTGGTAATTGAGTGTGACAAATTAAAGTTTTCCCATTTTATTTTGCGACAAAAGGAATATGTGCTTGGAAAATATCACACGTTTTTCAAGTCACTCAATTTTCTGAGACGTTCTGTATAGGGACCTGAGAAAAAATTGTTGCACAGCAGAGAATTTGCTTGTAGAGCACCTTTAAAGCATGGGTAAAGAACACTAAATGTGTTGGAAATTAGAAAAAAGTAATTGAAACAGTAGCAAAATTGGAGAAGGTTAACTCAAGACAAGATAACTAAAGAAAATCATTAAGATGCATCTAATCTGCCAGGAATTCCATGAGACCAAAGTTCCCACAAGGGTTTTTCCTGCATCCTTGGGGATTTCCTGGGGTAAATCAGTCCTCGGGGACAAAATCTTGCCAGGAAAAGGGGTTTAAATACAGAATATTTGTTTGTATACATCATCAGTTGCATTTTGGCAGTCTCACGCAGAAGACATACAAATTCTTGTTGAAATCAAATTGATGTGTTTTTGGAATCCATGTTTCCTTGTCAAAATACACCAACCTTACACTAGGTTGTCAAGCACCCCGGCTGAGTATTTTAACACATTTTTATTAACTCGCTTTCTTGTCCGTTTGTTTGTCCGGATCAAATTTTGCAACTCAAATTTTGCTCACTTCCCAACTNCTCTTCTCAGATTTGCTCTTCTCAGATTTGCTCTTCTCAGATTTGCTCTTCTCAGATTTGCTCTCTTGATATGCTTGCTCTTCTCAGATTTGCTCTTTTGATGCTTGCTTACCAAATAGCATAACCAAGTCATTGCTTGAATTTACATTACAACTTTGATGATGCAGTAGAATTCTTGAAAATTCTTTCAACTCCTTTGACCTCTTGTCATTGGTTCCTAATAATTGAAAAGGGTATTTACTTCACTGCCTTTTATCTGTTTGATTGCAGCAATCTGTACCACCAGTGATGGCGTTTCATCTGGGATCCCTTGGGTTTTTGACGCCATTTGAGTTTGAAAACTTCCAGGACCAAGTGCATTATGTATTGGAAGGTTTGTTTATTTATCCGGCATCCAACCGAAATTCTATTGACGTTTGAATTTTTGCCGAAATGTTGTATGTAGGAACATTGAAGTACAGTATCTCTTTTCTACAACGTGTATACGTACCAGCAGTTCAAAAACAAATTACCGGTTGCAAATTTAAAGAGATTCAACGTACCACCAGCTTAAAAAATTAGAAATAAGCAAATTCATATAAATTCAACGTACTGTGCTTCAGCTTCCGAGAGAATTGATGCCTCTTATCTTGAATCCTCAACCTTGTTCTTGAAAATTAATTTTTCTATTGACTCCAGTGAATGCTTGTAGGCATACACGATGCTGAGTCTTTTTCAAAAATGTAATTTTGGATTTAAAAAATTCTTTTTCTTCGTGTAAACAGGACATGCAGCACTAACTCTTCGAAGCCGGTTGCGGTGCATCATAATGCGTAAGGCAGACGAAGAGGAGCCGGTTGTTCCCGGAGTGACGCCCTCTAACGGCGCGAAGCTTAAGGAAAGCAACGCAGATGTCGCTGCTGCCGGGAACGGCAGTAACCATCACCACCACCACCACCATCATCAGCACCTCCACCAACACCATCACAACACTCAGCACCAGCATCACAACCACGGCAGTCTGGGGAAGCACCACACGCACCATCCTGCCAAGCCAGTGGCACCACCTCCGAATAACCTCTTGGTGCTCAATGAGGTCGTTATTGATCGTGGCCCATCGCCGTATTTGTGCAATATTGACCTGTTTCTGGACGGGAAACAAATCACTTCTGTCCAGGGAGACGGTACAGTATTTTGCATTCATATTCTATTTGAGCATAGGGGAGGAAGTTAAGTCATTGAGATCTATGTGATTTTCAATTTCCATTGGATTTGAGCGAAATTGTGAAATTAGTTTTCGTATCAATAATAAAAAGTGAAGCAGCATCAGAGAGCATCCGCAAAATTTTTCCCAGGTGACTCAACATTGGCAGTTATTGTCAGGAGGAGAATGAAAGTACTGTTCAATATTACTGTACTGTACTTGTGAAATCTTTCTAGCCAGAAAATGTATAGTTCAAATTTTTATAGATGGCAATAATGACGTCCGTTGAATAAATTAATAGCATGCTATTTTTCGAGGTTATATACAGCAGAAAGACCTTCATTCGTCATTATTTTGTAAAAAAAAAAAAAGAAAAGCTTTTAGAATACATTATGAAGAATCATGAAAAGAATTTGATTTTTTGGCCATATCGATTTTTCCTCCAAATATCGGACTTTCAAAAGATTTCCCCGATTTTTCGTGCCCTTGAACTCCTTGAAGGGAGCAAAATTAAGTCCATATGTATTGCGATGCCAAAAATTGATATTCCGATAAAAAATTGTGAATTATTTCGAAAAGGACGTCTGGTAGAAGAGTTTTTCCTAATAATTCGAAACTTCGTTGCCCATTTTGAAATGTTATAATTTTTATGTAATCTGCTGGGAAACTTTACTTAATTTAATATTATTCTGGTGCGGCTAGAAAAAACTCAGCCACACCAGAATAATAGAACTTAGGAGGGGGAAGAAAGAATGAACCCAAAAAAAAAACTCATGTCAAAAAGCGTTTGTATGCTTGGGAAACCCTGTGCTGATGATTAGAAATTATAGTAAGTCTTTTTTGGAACATCCACCCTTATAAATTGCTCAGAAAAACTTAATCAACAGAAAGTCTTGGTGTTGACCAGCACTTATTCAGAATAAATGTTTGTGATTGATATGAAGATTGCAGTTCTTTAAATGCCATAATTACCTGAAAAGGTTACAGAAGGATGATGTTAAATTTATGCAGGGTTGATCTTCAAAAAATCTTCCAATCAGTCAAAAATTTCAAAAATCTTGTTATAACAAATTATTCATCAAAACAAACTTCTTCTGGAGTCCGCCCCGCGAGTTTGGTGTAACAAGATTTCACTGTAATGCCTTACCCTTTTTTTCTTTTGTAATTTCGTGGGAACAGGTATGTAACACTGCAAAACCCCTGTGTAAAAGAATGAAAACACGACGTATAAAGTGCTGTCCCAACTAGCACAGGTGGGGTTGACCCTCGTGCCGTATACGCCAACGTCGTCCACGTAGGTACTAGGTGGGATCAGTTCCGGCTGTCATGGTGACTCCCATCTGCCCTCATTCCTTGTCCTTCAGGCCCATTGTTGTGCCAGCTGGTGTTGAGCTCAAGGTCGGAATTCTGGATAATAATCTCTCATTGGAAAATACTTTGCAAAAACCGTGACTTTTTTTTTTTACGTTGTGTGAAATTTTGAATCTAGTACAACTTGTTCCTGCGGTCCTTATGACGCACCCAGAGGAAGCTACCAGCTGTGGTTGTCCTTAACTTCGTACCTCTGTCCACTTTCTTATTACTTACTCTACGACTACTTTGTGAGACCCCGAGATGTGGACGTAATTTGTGCATCAAGATTGCCCCCTAGTCGAAATGTCCCTAAGTCGAGTCTTATTGTTTTCCCGCATGGACTTACATCACATAATTTTCAATTGGTGTTTTGTGGAAGAAATATTCTTCAGAATTCCCTGAAAAATTACTTGAATTTGAATTAGTGAATACGTTTTCAACTCAATAAGAACATTTGGAGCATTGAATAGTGTATCTCTGTACTGTACACTGAAATTTTGGCATCTACAAAAATAACATTCAAGTGAAAAAAGAAGTCCTACATCAATTTTAGGGCTGGAAATATCTGTTTCTTGTAATTTGGCAAATCTCGAAACTCGATTAGATATATATTTTTTTTATTTTTAACGATTTTCGTAGTACAAAGACGTGAAGTCGAGAATGGTATTGTTTCTTGAAATTTTCGCATGAATTGAGACCCATTTCTTTTTCGTCTTCTGGTTTCGACAGCTTGAGAGTGACGACGTCGATTTACCCAGTGCCTTCGATTTGCTCCCAAGACCAAATCGCGGATTGGTTCGAGTCCCTGGCTGAGTGTCTGCACTGGAACATGCGCAAAAAGCAGCGCCAATTCGACGAGTCCCTGTCTGACAATTCGTACCCAGGGGAAAGATCGTCATCTTCGTCGTCGGCGTCGTCGGTGTCGTCAATCGACGGAGAAAATCCCGATGACACTGACGGCGTGGTCCCGGCTGCTGACGAGAAAGTTGAGAATAACTGATCCTTATATATTGCCAAGCAAAACAAAACCGGGCTGGGTTTCAACATGAAAGAAAGCACAACAACAGAAAACTTAACTACCGAGAAATGTATCAAGATTACGATCGAGTGATTTCATGCGAAGCAGCATCTTCCATATTTGTTTTTTCCTTTCTTCGTCTTTTTTTTTATTGCTGTTTTCCCCGAAGAAATTGAGTGCTTGATGTACAAAGTCGTGAGACTGAGCTTTCAAATTTTTTTCTCTCCTGCCTTCAGAAAAAGTATTTCTAAAACAAAAGAGAATGAAATCTGGGCGGGAACAAACTTCGGAGAAATGTGGTGGAACATATGTACACGTCTTGTAAACGCGTTTTGGATGCTTTAAGCTGATGATGATTGTGAAGATTTTTTTTTTAATGCAGAAATTGTGAATATTTTCCTCCTTTCCGAAACATTCCGCTTTGCTCAACTGCTGTATATTTCAAATAAAGATTTTTCCATTTCCATGCAACCGTGGTTTTTCAATCCTCAAAATGTGTGAAGTTTTGCAGTTTATATTGCCCACAAAACATATTAGTGAACCATGGATTTAGTGCCACCCTCTCGTATAGTGCACAAATTTCCCTGGTAAAAATCTCCCTTCATTACGTTCTAAAGGAAAACCCTGATTTAGTGGCAACTCACTTAGTGCCGCAAAAATTCTTTGTCATGTTTAATAAAGTGGGCAGAAATTTAAGTAAACTGTGGCATTTTTACAAGGATATCATTGGATTATAAGACTTACGAAAAAAATCGTATCCCCATG